TATTCATATTTAAAAATTTAATAAATATTCACAATATATAACACATTTTGAACAAATTAATATTTAAAGTTAATACATTTTTTAAGCTATAAATAAAATTAAAAACTAGTATAATACAAAATTGCAATATAATGTGTACATAAAACGACAATATATATATATAAGATAATACGCATATCAGAATTAAAAGAAATAATAATTATTAGTTTTCTATCAGCCACAATTACAGTTTATGTACGTACTTTTTCTCTTTAATAAAAGTCATTTTATAACCTACATTCCACTTTTGTGTTCTCATTATTACACACTTACTTCAAACGGATAAGATACATTATATGAAACGATAGAAACAAATTGTATTACATATGTAGATTCATTTTTTACACGTGTATGTATTACACTATGTACACATGTGTATATTCCCCGAGTTGTCAACGAATTTGTATAGAATTTGAACCATAAATTGTCACAAAAATGAATTTCAGTTTTGGAAAGATATGAAAGTATATATATATATATATATACTTTCATATATTTCTTATAAAGTTGAGAAATGATATTATCATGGAAAAATAAAATACATAATGTATCCCGACCCTTGTAATGTGTGTACATAATGTAATCCAATGTAATCTTGTGTCTCGAAGTGACATCCTACCAAATTCTTGAGAATTGTACCGGCCAATCAGCGGCCACCACGATGAATATGATGCCACGCATTAGCTACGTTCTACCAACTCTCTAGTTCCTGCACATCACCGTACTTGATCACTTTGTTCGTGTTTCTCAACGTATGGTGTTGGGGTGTCTTCAATTTTGGTACCATAACGGCAGGTTTACTGTTTTCTTCGACACCAAATCATTAAGTTCTTCGTGTGCGTGTCGTAGAATAAAACAGTAGACAATTACCATCGTCTTGCTTTGCAAAATGAAGTTTTCTGCGTTAATATTTTTACTAATTTCTTTCTTCGCTGCTTCTCTTGCGGAAATTGAAACCGAAGATGCCGTTTTAGTACTTACAAAAGATAATATCGATGAAGCAATTGCACAATATGATTATTTGCTTCTTGAGTTTTGTAAGTAATATATTAATATTTTTATCACGAAATCTCTTCAAACTACGATTGCATACTCGTGATTCTATTTATTATTTTTGCATGAAACGACTACAATTTGTCTAAGGTTGATCCAGATGCTCGGTCCGCACACGTCATCATTTAGAAGCCGGTTTCTAAGTTTAACGCCACTTGTTGATAATGCTCTAACTTCGTATTTCTAGTATAAATAATTGAAATTTAATATCTGTTATTTGTTCTTAATAGTCAAATTTTGAATCTCTAAATTAACAAATTCCATGTTTCGCGTAACATGCAATGTCGCTTGCATTTTGACAATTTTTCATTTATAAATTTTTCAGAATAAATAACGCTTGGATACGTTACTTCTATAATTATAATTAAAAATGTTTAACACGTTTCTTATACGTTTTTTTCACTTCTTTCTACCATTGTGAAACATTGAATAAAGCTGTTATAATTTAATAACTTTTTATTTTCTTTGATATGTAGATGCCCCATGGTGTAAACATTGCAAAGATTTGGCTCCAGAATATGCCAAAGCTGCAAAGAAGTTACAGGAGATCAATTCCCCTGTAAAGTTAGCCAAAATTGATGCAACCGTGGAAACAGAATTGGCTGAAAAACATAATGTTAATGGATACCCTACTCTTAAGTTTGTTCGTCGAGGGTTATTTATTCAATATACTGGTACCCGTAATGCAGATGATATTGTATATTGGGTAACATTGAAGATTGGCCCGCCTGCTAAAGATTTAACGACAGTTGATGAAGCTAAATCATTTCTTGAAGCACATAATGTTGCAATTGTTGGATTCTTTAAGGTATTAATTGTAATTAAATATATGAAAAATAATGATTTATTATATTTTTACATGTTTTATATGTTGACAGGATCAAGAATCCGATGATGCAAAAGAATTTATAAATGCTGCTAGTCTTAATGGTGATTATGCATTTGGTATTACTAGCAATGAGGAAGTTGTTAAAGAGTATGACACCGAATATGGCAAAGTTATTTTATTCAAGAAGGTATTTATATTTCTTTACATTTTCTATGCATGTATTAACGGCAATATATTTTATTTACTTTATTGTTTGTTTTAGTTTGACGATGGTAAAGATGAGTTCACTGGAGAGCTTACTGCTGAAGCGCTCCAGAATTTTATCTATGTATACTCACTGCCGCTGGTTGTTGAATTTAATCAAACTACTGCTTCAAAAATATTCCGTGGTCATATTAAACATCATCTTCTCCTATGCCTTAATAAAGAAGCTGGTCACTATGACAAGTATGTGGATATGATGAAAGAACCAGCAAAGACTTTCCGTGGAAAGGCATGTATAAACTGCGTATAAATAGTGAGCAGCTTTTTAAATGTTAGTTCGCCAATTTCATTATAATAACACATCATTGCAATCAACTTATAGGTCTTGTTTGTTACTGTTGATACTGTTGAGGCTGATCATGAACGTATTCTAGAATATTTTGGCTTGAAGAAGAGTGAAGTACCTGCCATGCGTATCATTGAACTTGAAAAATCTATTATTAAATATAAACCAGAGAAACCAGAATTATCCACTGAAAATGTTGTAGAGTTTGTAAATGCATTCCTTGATAACAAACTAAAACAACATTTGATAACACAAGACTTGCCTGAAGATTGGGATAAAAACCCTGTCAAGGTTCTTGTTGGCACTAACTTCCACGAAGTTGCACACGATCCTAAGAAGAATGTTTTAGTTGAATTTTACGCTCCATGGTGCACGCACTGCCAAGAATTGGCTCCAGTTTATGAAGCAGTATGTTGTATTACAGTATTTTTTTCTGGATATTGCAAAATGTTTTATTAAATATATTTACAAATGTATCTTTATATGTATTCTTAGCTTGGAGAGAAATATAAGGATAGCGAAGATATCCTTATTGCGAAAGTGGATGGTACTGCAAATGAATTTGAAGACATTGAAATTGCTGGTTTTCCCACAATTATTCTTTATAAGAAAGAAACTAATGAAGTAAGCATTCTAGATTTACGTTACACAAACTCTGTAATTATCATTTAGCAAATATTCATTAGTAAATCACTTCTTTTTAGCCTTTAACCTATTACGGTGAGAGAACATTTGAAGGGCTTTCCAAATTCCTCGAGACCAATGGTGCTGAAAGCGAAGTTCCGCAAGAAGTTCGTATAAATAGCTTTTTCATTTTTTCTCAACGGTACATTAAGTTTTCAGTAACTAATTTCAAAAATTACATTTTTTATTGTTACAGGTTCTAGAGGAAGATGAAGATGACGATGTGCCAAGGAAAGATGAATTATAAAAATTTTATCATTAAGAAGTAAATGAAATAATTTTTCCACATCTATTTGCAGTTAATAAACTCCGTAATTCTATTTAAAAGATATTAAGTCTTTGCGAACGAATATCATCGGTGAAGTTGCAGAGCTATTTTAATGTGTAAAATTGTAAGTCGTCGCTATGGTGGTAAGCTGCTATAAAATAGGAATAAATAGTGGCTTGCCAGTATTTCTCATTTCATAACAGAAACTAAGAACTCCATTTACTTCAAGATTTTCCCTTTCATCTGTTTCATAGTTTGTTTACTATGATAGCAACGGTTTTCTATTTTATGTACGAGAACTGATGTTGGCTGACAGCATCTATTTACAAAGACTTAATATCTATAGCAGACTTCTTAATCATTCATTTTCATTTTGTTAAAATTACAAATTTAAGTTTGTAATCGATTTTTCAATGTGTATAATTAACTGTTAAAAATTTAATTGCATTTTTCACAGAGTTTGTTTATATTTCATATTTGTGCGAATTATTTAAAATTATATACACAAATGTTTGTTATTTTGGGGATATAAAAATACTCTAGGATGAAATTACATCGCTGAAAGAAAAATAATCAACATTTATGATTTTGTTAGATTATGTAATAGGTTCGTTCGTGTCGGCAACAGAAAAGAATTTTGTGATAAATGTTTACACAGAAAAAATGGTGTGACGCTTTTTTAATGAATTATGGCAGCTCAAACTGAGCCACGATGTTGCGACGCTTGTTTTGATTTCTTCAGCGCGATTGACTTTGATGTCGTCTTACTTAACTTCTTCATTACCTCTTCTCAATTTACAAATCGACTGAACATGTTCCGTTCTGAACATGAAGTGGCAGGCTAATAATACAGAGTAATGTTGAAGAAATCGAAAATTTAATCAAATCAAAATTCAATTGCAATTTAAGCTTTGCATGAGTTGACGAAGAAGAATTTGTTCAATCGCATTTCAAAAACTTTCCTGTAAACAAATACGAACGGACTTGTTGCAGAACCTAATAATTTTCGGGGTAATTCTTTATATAATACGATTAGCACAATTTGAATACAATATACGCTCCATATTGCTGCAATTTTGAAACGTTACACATATGATTGAAGTAAAAGAGTTATTACTTTAAATATTTTAGATTTGTGATGATGAAACTTGTATATCAGGATATGTTCTTCATACATACTTCAGGAGCAGAAATTTGTGCCACTCGTATTATTTATGAACATTTTTTATTCAGACTTTTTTATATATATTGTTTTGATATACATAAATTTATTCATTTTATATACTTAATACGGATTTATTATGTATATTTAAATTACCACACTTGCGTCCATAAAACGTGAACACACTAACGTTAGCAATTACTGTGTTTGCTGTTACAAAGTAGAAATTTTAAAACGTTGTTTTCATAAAATTTATTCAGATTCCATTTTCATTTACAGCATTTATACAGTCCATGATACATTCTAAGTGAAAATAATTTCAGTGTTTCTCTATGTTTGACTGAGTAATTCCATAGAAAGGAATAGTAGGTTTGGGATGTCATGTAGTATGAAAAAAGAAGATACATGTTTATTATACATATATTATTGTATATATATATATGTATACGTATATCATATCTCTCTCTCTCTCTCTCTCTCTCTCTCTCCCTCTCTATATATCTATCTATCTATACATATATATATATCTATATATACATATATTTTTGTATATATATTATTCCATAGAACCGTA